GGGGTTTCACCGTGTTAGCCAGGATGGTCTTGATCTCCTGACCTCGTGATCCACCTGCCTCGGCCTCCCAAAGTGCTGGGATTACAGGCGTGAGCCACAGCACCCGGCCTCCACTTTTATATTATTGACCCAAACTCAGTCACATGGTCATATCTATCTGCAGAGAGGCTGGGAAATGTAGTCCTTATTTAGCTAAAAATTGGATTACCATGAATGAGGGGGAGAACAGATATGGAGGGATAACAAGAGGCCTATGTTAGAGCTTCCACAACACCACCAATGGTGAATTCTATGGACTGGTTCACATAGCATCCCTTCCCATCTCCTTCCAGTGCATTAGCGCTGGGATGCAACACTTCCTAGACTCCGTTGCAGCTGGCATTCCAAATGAGCTTTAGGAATTGTCATTCTATAAACTTGCATGTGACTTGAACCTGAAACTAAGTTAAGTGGAGAGAGAGGATGCAGGTAGGGCATTAGTTTTGCTGATGTGGATTGTGGCGGATTGATTTTGTAGTCCCCAACCAGTACTGGTTTCTGGCCCAGTAGCTTCCTGTGGCAGGAGTGGTGGCAGGTTTTTTCATGATCAGTGATGGCAGACCCGTGATGATTCTGAGGGTTTGCAATTATTTCTGGAAGCTCCATTTTAAGTCTACTCCTCCAGCCCTCTAGTAATATTGTAAGCCAGAATTTTTCAAACTTTAATGTTCATATGAATGGCCTGAAAAATCTAGATAAAATGCAGATTTTGATTCAGTAGATCTGCCATGACATATAAGATTTTACATCTCTAACAAGCTCTAGGGTAATGCCTGATTGGGAAGATGGATTTCTTAGTAACTCAAGCCTGGGGTGTCCTGTGCTCACGTATACCTGGTCATAAATTCCTTTCTGCTTTAACTATTGTATTAGTCAGTGTTCTCCAGAGAGACAGAATCAATATATATCAATGTCTACTGTATCTATATCTGTATCTATAGAGAGAAACTGTCAATGGGGAAAAAAAACCTCTGTAATATATAATATATTTTAAAGAGGTTTATTTTGAGCCAGTATGAGTGACTGCAGCCTGGGGAAAACACCAACCCAGAGCCTCGAGTAAGTGCTCCCAAGGCATTCAGAACGCAACTCTGTTTTATACATTTCAGGGAAGCAGAAGTTACAGGCAAAGTCATAAATCAATACATGGAGATTATACTTTGGTTTGGCCCAAAAGGGTGGGACATCTTGAAGTGGGGGCTTGCAGGTCGTAAGTAGATTGAGAGATTCTTTAATTTGCATTTGGGTAAAGGAGTAAGGCTTTGTTTAAAATCTTGGAGTCAGCATGAAGGAATGTTTAGGTTTAATTTTAACATACATTAGTTAAGAAGTCTGCTAACCATCATGGGATGCTATGCCAGAGTCGGGCTGCAAGAGCAAGACACAATACACTGGGTCAGGGTGACCTGTCGGGTCTCTTATTCCTACAAAGAGTCCATTCTGTGAGCCTTATGGTCTCAATTTTGATATTAATGCAGATCAGTTGTTCTGTCTATATTGCAAAAGAGGGGGGGTTATAATGAGGCTTGTCTGACCTATCCTGTCATGACCAGGAACTCCATTTTTAAGGTTTTTCTGGTGTCCTCTTGGCCAAGAGGGGATCTGTTCAGTGGGCTGGGGGGGTTAGGATTTTATTTTTAGTGTACATTGACATATGAGAGGAGAGTCATTAGGGGGATTGTCTCATATGATTATGGAGGCTGAGAAGTCCTGCCACAGGTTGTCTGCGAGCTGGAGAACCAGGGAAGCTGGTGGTGTGGCTCCATCCAAATCCAAAGGCCTCAGAACCAGGCAAGCTGAAGGCATAATTCTCAGTCTAAGGCCACAGACCTGAGAACCCAGGGGCCTCTGGTATAAGTCCTGGAATCAAAAGGTTGGGGAGCCCCCGAGTTGTTGTCCAAGGAGAGGAGAGGAACAGTGTACCCCAGTTCCAGCAGATAGATGAACACATTCACCTTTTCTCTGTTTTTGTTGTCTGGGTTCTCAGCAGATTGAATGCTGCCCGCCCACATTAAGGGTGGATCTTCTCCACCGAATTCACTCAGACTCACACACTTACACATCCCAAAATAATGCTTTACCAGATTTCTAGGAATTTTTTAATCCAGTCAAGTTGACACCTAAAATTAACCATCATTACTACCGAGTGATTGTTTCTGATTCTCCTAATTCTACAATGGTTTCTCCCTTTTCTCTCTTCAAGGATCTTCTTCCCATGTTTGTCCCTTAAATATTGATGTAAGCCAGGACTCAAGCTTAGGATCATTCTAGAAACTCTTCCAGGATGATCTCCTTTATTCTCCTGGTTTTAATCACTATTAATCTCAAATTCATATCTACAATCTATCCTCTTTCCTGAGCCCCAAATTCCAGTATTCATAGCTGACCAGAACTGAGTTCTACAGATGAGCAGTGCATGAAAGAAAGGTTCTGCGGTCAAATAAGCTTGGGAAATGCTGGATTAAATAGAATGAAATTGGTTTCCTTGTTGAGATACTTCTAGAACTGTTAATGTGCTAATATGCATTGCAGATTTCTAAGAGGGGGCATGTAGTACCTAGAGTTTCTTAATCTTGTTTGGCATTTATGTTGGACACATTCTATGTGTTTTCATAGGTTCTCTTAGCCTGCCTAAGTCCTAGATCCTAGCCTTTTGCATTTCCTTAACTGTTGCCACTGCAGCCAACTCTGGCGTTCTGTGGCTAGCCAGCTGCTGCCAGGAGCCTCTGGCTCCTCCAAGCATCTTGCATCATTTCCCAGCCCTCCCTTTTACATCACTCTTGAGGCTCTGGATTTGTGCCTTCATTTAAAGCATCAGCATATAATCATTGCCCCAGGCTTTGTTTTCTAGGGAACCTGAACAACTCTCAACAGTCCCCCACCTTTTTTCCTGGGATATTAATGTCTCCTGGAACTAAGGTTCCTAGAGCATACTTTAGAAATACCATATTTCCCTGTATGCACCTTAGATTCAGCATGTCCAACAATGAATTGTAGTAGTCTGTTCTCACACTGCCATAAATAAATACCCGAGACTGAGTAGTTTATAAAGGAAAGAGGTGTAATTGACTTACAGTTCCACATGGCTGAGGAGGCCTCAGGAAACTTACAATCGTGGCAGAAGGTGAAGGGGAAGCAAGGACCTTCTTCACATGGTGGCAGGAGAGAGAAGTGCAAACAGGGGAAATGCCAGAAGCTTAGAAAACCATCAGATCTCGTGAGAACTCACTCACTATCGTGAGAACTCACTCCCTATCATGAGAACAGCATGGGGGAAACTGCTCCCCATGATCCAATTACCTCCCTCCCTCCACATATGGGAAGTATAAGACAAGATTTGGGTGGAGACACAGTCAAACCATATCATAAATCACTTGTGGGTCCCCACCATTTTCTAATGTGGCCAATTCACAAAGTTGCATTAGCTATCTGGCTCTGGAAGGCACTTGCCTAAGTGACCCTTGGTTTAGAACTTGAGGTCTCAGAGAGTGTCTTCATTGTTTTACCATCTTAGCCCCAGAACTATTCTGAGAGACAGAACAAGTATGTTCCTATTTCACTGACAAGGAAATAGTAAAAGGGATTGGCCTGGATGACACAGTTGGAAGTAGTGGAGCCAGGGCTCTAACCCAAGTTTCCAGCCTCCCAGTCCTGGCCTTGTACACTGATCAGGCCCATGTCTTCAGGTCCCCAACACTAAAAGGACACAGTGGGCTTTCATGGCCCTCCCTTTGCCCCCATTTTCCTGGCTAGATCTTCAGAGTAGCAAATACTAGCACTCTTGAGTTTTAGAGACTTTTAAAAACAGGCACATTTCCGAGGGAAAATCTTTGCACATGTTTTTCCCAGAAAGAAGAAAGTGTAATAATGTGTTGTCTGAACTAAGGACAGTAAGGTTTTGAGCGTGGCTAAACTTTCCTTCTTCAGGTGTGAAGAAAAAAAAAAGAGTAAACAGAACTAGATGTGTGGAGTAACCTTTGCAACCTTTGGGGGAAGGTCTCACTTAGGGGTTAAGCTTCTTTCCAGATAACCTTCTTGGAGAAGCTGACTTCATAGAGGGCAGTGGTTCTTTTTTTTTTTTCTTTTCACCATAGTGCACGTGTCTTTATTTCTGGATGATATAAAAGAAAAAACTTAAAAAACACCCCAAACCAAACACCAGTGGATCCCCAAAGCAATGTGATTCCCTCATCCCACCCGGATAAATAGAGACTTCTGTCAGTCTACCCTTCCGCCCCCATAAACCCCTCTGCTGTAGACATACTCTGGGTATATATTACTCTACTTGGCAATAGACATCTCCCGAAAATAGAATTCCTGCCCTGACACCTGACTCTTCCCTGGCCTCATCAGACCACCCGCCACTGTAGCACACTGGTGTCCTTGCCCCCCGTGGTCAGGGCCATGCTGTCATCCCACAAGAAGGCCACATTTGTCACGTGGCTGCTGTGTCCACCGTACTTGTGGCTGAGGGCTCGAGGCTGACAGCACGGGTAGCTAAACAGGTGAACTTTGCCAAAGTCATCAGCTGAAGCCAGCAACTTCCCATCATGGGAGCAGGCCACAGTGTTGATATCAGTGCCATCCGCCCCCTCGGACCAGATCCCAAACACCCCAAACCCCAGGACACAAGTAGCTGTGGCCCATTCCACGTTCCTCACAGCATCTGCACTGGTGATCTGCTTACAGGTAGCCGGGTCCCAATACAGAATCTCATAGTCCCCGGAGTTGGTGACAAAGCAGCTGCTATCCTGGGCCCAATCCAGGTGGGTGATAAAACTGGAGTGGCCCGAGCACTTGCCCAGGCGGCTGACCTTGCGGCCGCCCTGGTCCACTGTGTACACGTACACCAAGTTGTCGTGGGAGCCCACGGCCAGGTACGCCCCGTCTGGGGATAATTTGACCACTGAGATCTGTTCATTGCCGTCTGTGTGGATAGCCACCAGGGCATGGGTCTCCATGTCCAGCAGCAGCCATCTGCCAGTCACTGTACCCACAGCCAGGACAGAGCCACTGGGGTGGAAGCCGGCTGAGCGGGCAGGGTCCTCGATGATCCTGCTCCACAGGGGCTGGTGGGACTCTGAGCTCCACAGATGCACCAGCTTATCCTGCCCGCAGGTCACAAACTGGGCCTGACTGGGGTGTGTGGCCAGGCCCCACAGCTCTTCCACATGGCCCTGGACCAGCAGCGAGAAGCCCGTGTGCACGGAGCCCTGCAGGATGGAATTGCGGGTGGTCCCCACGTACAGTGTGTCTCCGTGGCCCTCTGCCACAGTGTGCACAGGGCCGAAGTCCTCGGGGACCTCCACTTCCTGCAGCTTGCTGTAGTCAGAACCCCAGAGGACCACCCGCCTATCACAGCCCCCTCCGGACACCAGCGTCCCGTCCCGCAGGGCGCAGAGCCCAAACACGCCACCGTCATGGGCGCCCAGCACCGTCTGTGTGATACGGTTCCCACCTTTGCCCCAAACATAGAGGTTCCCCGCAGAGTCCCCCGTGACCACGTCGCCACCTTCCAAAAAGGTCACACACAGCACATACTTCAATTTCTCATGTTTCTCAAAGAGGCCTTGCCGCTTGCTCAAGCTGCCCCCCTCCAAGGTACAGAAGTAGATGTGAGCTTTCCCGCAGGTGATAAGCACAGTGGGGTCCGTGGGGTGGAAGGTGGCCACCAATATAGCCTCGTTGGAGCACTTAACATCCACCACCTTGGTCTCCTTGGCCCAGTCCCACACCGAGAGCATGTGATCATTGGATTTGTCTACTGCGCACAGCAGGTTGCCCCCATTAGACTTGGAGAAGCCCACACAGCACACGGCTCTGTCAAACACCCCCAAGCCCAGCACCTGTAAGGTGGAGAGGGAAACTGAGTCCCAGATGCGCACGTGGGGTGGCAGCGGCTTCCCTTCCTTAGTGGTGCCCGCCACCTGTCCCATGGCGATGGTGACTATATCCGGGTGGATGGCCAAGCATTTGATGTCACTGTTGTGTCCCAGGTAGTGTCGCTGCCTCTGCTCCTCCACGCTGTATAGCACAGCCACGAAGGCCACGAAGTACACTGTCTCCCCGGAGGGCAGCAAATAAAGGTTGGCCCGGCAGTCTCGGCCACGGTAGCCATAGACCCAGTTCAGCTTGAGCCGGCAAGAAGGCAGCTCCGAGCGTGTGTCCAGGCTATAGGTGGGTGCCAGCTCATCTGGGATCAGCATGGGCACAGGGCGGCCCCTCAGGAACATTTTCACGGAGCCATCCTCCACACTGAAGATAACTTCTTTGGTTTTGCCAGCTCCAAAGCTACTCATGGCGGCGGCTGGCGGAGCTTCAGGGAGGGCAGTGGTTCTTAAACTTTCCTTTTGGTTACTTACTTGAGAATTGAATAATTGTTGTGAATTCTCTTCCTAGAAAAATTCACTTACAAATGTAAGGGAATAAAACAAAGTTGCTTGGTATTTCCTTCATGTTTGGTATTCTGAAATTTAATCATAGTTAATCTGGGTGTAGGTCTTTTTTGTTTTGTTTTGTTTATTCTTCTTGGTCTTCAGGGGGTCCTTTCAATGTGAAAGCTTTTGTGTTTTTTCACCTCCAGAAAATATTTCATTATTTATTTCTTTATTTTTTCCCCTCTATTTCCTCTGTTTTCTTATGCTGGAATTCCTGTTAAATAGTATGATAGAACTTCTGGATTCATCCTCCATACTTCCTCATTTTTCTTTTATACTTCTCACCTCTGTTCTTTCGAACTACATTTTATGAGAATTTCTTTTTTTTTTTTTTTGAGATAGGCTGGAGTGTAGTGGTGTAATCTTGGCTCACTGCAACCTCCGCCTCCCGGGTTCAAGCAATTCTCATGCCTCAGCCTCCCAAGTAGCTGGGGTTACAGGAATGCACCACCATGCCTAGCTAATTTTAATTTTTAGTGAGACAGTTTTGCCATGTTGGCCAGGCTGGTCTTGAACTTCCAGCCTCAGGTGATCCGCCCGCCTCAGACTCCCAAAGTGTTGGGATTACAGGCGTGAGCCACCACACCTGGCTGTTTTTTAGTCTCCTGAATTTCCTAGCTGCTTGATCTTTCAACTCTATTTTTCACTCTTCAGCTGAATCTATTTTGTTATTTAGCCCTTTGAATTTTTATTTGGGAAACTGAATTCTAAATCAATATTTAGTTCATTCTATTTTTTAATTTATTTTGAGACAGGATCTCGCTCTGTAACCTAGGCTGAAGTGCAGTGGCAAGATCAGAGCTCACTGCAACCTCAAACTCCTGGGCTCCAGTGATCCTTCTACCTCAACCTCCTGACTAGTTGGAACTACAGGCACACACCACCACACCCAGATAATTTTTAAATTTTTTGTAGAGATAGAGTCTTGCTATGTTGCCCAGGCTGGTCTCAAACTCCCAGACTCAAGCAATCCTCCTACCTTGGCCTCCCAAAGTGCTAGGATGATAGGTGTGAGCTACCATGCCTGGCTTAATTCCTTTTAGTAAATGAAATATCTTTTCACATATCTTGTCGAGATATTAACTATGCTTAATCTAAAGCCTTGCTCTGTAAGTACTCATTAATTCTCATTCTTAGGTGTTTGTTTTTCAGATGGCAGTGTAGGGAACTAAAATTAATTTTTTCAGCAACTCTTATAAATTCTTAGTTGGAATGAACCCCTATAACAAAAGACAGATTAACAAGAGAAAAACAAATGAGTGTATTAGCATGTATATTTCATATACACATGGGAAATACCCAGGGAATGAACAGGCCTCAAAGAGATGGCTTGGAATTCCAGCTCATATAGCATCTTCAGCAAAGAACAGTAATTTTTAGAGAAGTGGCAAGACAAGGGACAAGGACATTGAATTTCTAAGGGCAGCAAATTGTGGAACAGCAAATAAATGGCAGTTACAGGCTATTCAGTAGAGCTTGCTATGTAGATTCCTTTGGTGCCATCTCCAGGTTGTTAAGCTCTAAAGTTGTCTCTGGTGGTTAACTTTTGTCTTTCCTGATACAGCGGGTCTTTATCTTTGTAAATCTTCTCAAGTGCCTTCAACTCAAAATAATCCTTACATCAAAGTGGCATGTTTTGGGATGGCATATTCTAGTTTCCCACAGTGGATTTTTAATTTTTCATTTTTGAGACAGGGTCTCACTCTGTCACCCAGACTAGAGTGCAGTGGTGAGACTGTGGCTCACTGCAGTCTCAAACTCCTGAGATCAAGTGACCCTTCTACTTCAGCCTCCTGAATAGCTGAGACTAGAGGTGTGTGCCACCACACCTGGCTAATTAAAAAAAAAAAAAAAAGAATTGTAAAAATGGGATCTCCCTATGTTGCCCAGGTTGGTTGCAAACTCCTGAGCTCAAGCGATCCTCCCACCTTGGTTTCCCAAAGTGCTGGGATTACAAGTGTGAGCCACTGCACCCAGCCTACAGATGGATTTTGATGGCTCTGTTTCACAGTGTTAATTTTACCCAGTCACTTAGTAACTCTAGATATTTGTGTTTTTCGCTTTTGTTTTTGTTTTTGAGACGGAGTAACGCTTTGTTGCCAGGCTGGAGTGCAGTGGTGCAATCTTGGCTCACCGCAACCTCTGCCTCCCGAGTTCAAGCATTTCTGCTGCCTCAGCCTCCTGAGTAGCTGGGACTACAGGTGCATGCCACCAAGCCTGGCTAATTTTTTTTTTTTTTTTAGTAGAGACAGGGTTTCACTGTGTTAGCCAGGATGGTCTCGATCTCCTGACCTTGTGGTCCGCCCACCTCGGCCTCCTAAAGTACTGGAATTACAAGTGGTAGCCATCGTGCCCAATCTGTTTGTTCATTTTTAAATTGTGCATTATTATTACTATTATTATTTTGAGACAGGGTCTTATTCTGTTACCCAGGCTGGAGTGCAGTGACATAATCATGGCTCACTGCAGCCTCGACATCCCAGGCTTAAGTGGCCCTCCTATCTTAGCCTCCCAAAGTGCTGGAATTACAGCTATGAGGGATTACAATAATGCTGGGATTACAGGTATGAGTCACTGTATGAATCTAGTGCATTCCTGTTCTCATCTGTTCTGTTTCCTGAGCCTGAATGTCATAATTTTGTGGGAGGTTCTGGGCCAGTAGCGTGCTCATAATCTCAGCTACTAAGGAAGCTGAGACAGGAGGATCACTTGAGCTCAGGAGTTTGAGACCAACCTGGACAACATAGTGAGATACTGTCTCTAACTAGAAAAAGAAAAAGGAAAAAAAAAAAGAAAGTAACTTTGTGGGAAGAAGAATGTGTTGATTGGACAAATACATGGGGGATGTATGTCGGGAAGAAGAGAACCCGTCGTGTCTTTGAGCATATCCAGTTTCGTACTGGGGCATTCGCTGGCTTGGTGTGGAGAAAATCTCCACTGCAGCTGGCTGATTAGTACAAGTGTCAGAAGTAAGGGGATAGTTGACACAAATACTCTAGATACGGTTGCTCAATTAACCACCCCAATAAGTAGCCCAAGTCCCTCTTTTCTTTGTATCCAATAACTCTAACATTAGGGTACAGTTCTTTCTTAACTCTATTTCTACTTTTATTTTTGCACTTTTGAAATAGCCTTCTGGTGCAGGACTTTTTTTGCACTGCTGTCAATCTTTTCTTTCTTATCTGCCTTTGGCGTTAAACTTAAAATGATCTTCTGTACTCTCCCTCCCTTCCAAAATTATAAATATTCACCTATTTTCTTATTTTACTATTTTTACGATTTCATGTTTTACATTTAAATCTTTAAGCCATCTGGAATTTATTCTAGTGTCAGCCATGACTTGGGGCCCTAACTTAATTTTTTCTAATGGTGAGTCACTTATACCCACCATGTGTTCCATGTGTGGGCTTTTAAAATGCAGCTCAACCCTAAGAGCTCCGTAAAAGCCCAGGAGTTAAGAATAGAAAAGCTAGGACTATAACTCATTTGACTCCTAATTTCTGCTCCATTACTGCTCACTCTAGGACTCTGGCAAATCTCAGTGCTCCTTAGGGAAAAAGCTCTGACCAATGATTTAAGGCTGGGAAGGCTGAGGCAGAGAGGAGGATTTGCAGAGAACCCTCTAGAGGAGGTTCATAGTTGCTGTGTTCCAGCCACTGGGCATGGCCTTGGGGGAAATAGTGGTTCAGCCCTACAAGAAGCTGCAGGGGCCTCAAGCTCTACTCTAAACTCCTTTTTCTTTCTTCAGCCCCAAGTCATTTTCCTACTCACTCAAAGTCCAGCTCCAAGGCAGTGAGGCTTAGATGCTCCTCTTCCTGGGCCCTCACTGCATTTTTGCATGTTTCTCTAGAGCTATTTTTGTAATTGTTGACAGGTCTGTCACGGATTAATGAATTAGTTGATTAAGTTATCAGGCATGAAGGGTGCCATCTGCCAGGTGCAGGAGGAAAAACACACCAAAGGATATGGAGTTGCTGCTGCCCATGTAGACCCCCTGAGGGTGTCACGGCACAGTGGTGCCACCATGCCCAGCTAATTTTTGTATTTTTTTGTAGAACAGGGTTTCACCATGTTTCCCAGGCTGGTCTCAAACTCCTGGGCTCAAGCAATCCACCCACCTCAGCCTCCCAAAGTGCTGGGGTTACAGGCCAGAGCCACCAAGCCTGACCTTGAAGTTTAATATATTTTAATTCAATCTACCTTATTAATTAACAAATCAAGTCATCTATAGCCTTACTTACTGTATGGTTTACTGATGAGTCATGGGCTAGGAGAAATGAATTAAAATTTCCTTCCATTATTATATATCTATTTCTCCATGTATTTCCCATTTTTTGCTTTATGAATTCTGATGCTATATTATTTTATGCATAAAAATGCATAACATCTTCATCATAGCTTTCAGCTTTTATCATTACAAGGTGTTCTTCTGTGTCTTGTTTTCTGATTTTTCTTTTTTTTTTGGTGAATTCAGCCATGTCTGATATTAACATTGTAAGCTCTGTTTTCTTTTTCTTTTTTTTTCTGAGACAAAGTTTCACTCTTGTTGCCCAGGCTGGAGTGCAATGGTGCAATCTCGGCTCACTGCAACCTCCACCTCCCGGGTTCAAGCGATTCTCCTGCCTCAGCCTCCCAAGTAGCTGGGATTATAGGCGTGCGCCACAACACCCAGCTAATTTTGTATTTTTAGTAGAGACGGGGTTTCTCCACGTTGGCCAGGCTGGTCTTGAATTCCCGACCTCAGGTGATCTGCCCGCCTCGGCCTCCCAAAGTACTGGGATTACAGGTGTGAGCCACCGCGCCCGGCAGTAACCTCTGTTTTCTTGCTGCATGTATTTGCATGTACAGCATTTATTTTTGTTTTCTATTTTTTCCTG